ACATTTATTCTCTACAATCATATTCTTATGGATCGAATAATATGTAACTATTATATGTAATAAAAAACAAATTTCATAGAGATGATTAAGCTGAATCTAGATTAATAGTAGGTTAGCAAGAATGGCTTTAAAGTGGTATCACCTTTTCATAGAATATTAGTTGGAGTCTGGAGACTCCATGTATATTCCTATTGTTCCTTCTCTTTTAATATCTCTATAATGCGTAGGATTTTAACATCTGAGATTCTAAACGCAGTTTTATCTTCTAAAAATCTCCTTAATATTAAAGCAATAAAATAATAATAAAAACCATATGATGAAAGCATATAATTTTCATTTTGCAAAAAGTATTCGCTGACATCAATTGTTTCAGACAGTACCAGCTATATAAAAGCGAACCATTCGCAAGATAAGTAAGAGTAATAAGACTTAAACTTCAAGTCGAAGATTATTCAGCGAATAATTCATTAAAAATATCTATAATGAGTCTGTCATTTACACTTTAAATGGCATTATCCTAGATATTTTAAAATGTCACATCCCTGATGAGCTTACATTTTAACGACAAGACGGCTTACAGTGGTTACTACTACCATTTTGTTCCTGGTAACGTATTTATTAAATTAAAATGACACAAATGTTGCGTTGAAATATTTTTTTTCATATTTTATATTTCGTTTTGTTTTCTATATTTAAATAAAAATGAAACGATATCAACAACTAGCAAAAAGGGACTTTATAAAACGAGGACAAGAAAAAACATTAACAAGATGTATATATTCAGGATTTACTTTGGTACATAGGAGAAATGAAATCTGATATACTAAGGGTTTGTTTCCTTTTGATGTTCAAAATGCACTATATATGTAAATTAGGTGATAATAAAGGACATCCACACTGAAATAGACTTAGTTTGATATTGAATATTTTAATATTTATTGCTTTATTGGATATATTGGATTATATGAATCTTTTTATTATCCCAAATATTTTTATTTTCAGAAGACACATTATTATTTAATGTTTTTAAAGTTACTTACGAATTTTTCATATTAATCTCCTAAGTAGTATGATAAAATAGGTTTTTATTGCACCGTATAGTCACTCTCTTTGAAAATTTCTCTGCGTTTCTATGTCAAGGACTTTAGTTTTCCCCAAATTAAAAAGTAAATACATAAAAAACAATGAAAACAAATCGTTTTCAATATAATATATCAAATTTCAGTTACAGTGAAGTGTTTTTCTTTGTATGTTTTATATGGTGTTCTACAGTTAATAATTTGATCAAAGAATAAGTATAAATATGTGTTGTTGGTTTACAACATGAACATAAGTTGAAGCAATAAACTAGCATAGTACGTACAGCGCTTGTGTAATGGGTTGTAAAGACTTTTAAGTAGTTTTCTAGCAAAACCCTGTTAGCAAGTGTAAATGTGCCGTAGACTGTATCTTGTCGTGAGAATATTGCAGTAACTTTACTTAAATGTAACATGGTATGATGATATAAAAGAATGTTCAGAAATAAAAGTATTATTATCGTCTTTAAAAATTTTAAAAACGTCTGTAAAAATCTCTTTGTATATGGTGTTTGTATATCAGAGAATAGAACATTAAAGTCTTTGTGAGTCAGACAAAAACTTCGAGCAAAGTTTTGTTCCGGTTGAAATCTGATTTATGTTAAGAAGTTTGAATAATAAGGGATGTTTTAGAAACTGGCAATCTCCCAAATTTGACTCCTGACGACGAGTATTTGTCATGACTCTTTTGTCTTAAATCATATCATGCAAATTAAGTAAGTAACAAACAGGATAATTTCGACCAAAACGTACAGCCTTACGGATCAGTACCCTTTGTTTGATGACAATGTTCTTTTATGTACTGATTTATTCAACTTAGTCTAGCAAGGCAGGACCAAAACAACACTGTTTTTACTATCAGCGTAACATATATATATATTTATTTGTATTTTGTGTTTGTATTTTGGTATAATTTAAGATTTTTCAGTGAATTCTGTAACAAAAAAGGCAGTAGAGACCTGGCGTTCAATGACGGGTAAAAATCATAACAAAAAACTGCCTTTTGACATCAATATGTGGAGAGGATGTAGTGACCCCGAGTTTGTGCTGTATAATTTTTTTTTTAATTATAAAACGTGTCATATTGCCATTGTTATTTTTAATCCAAGCATTGATTGGGGTGTTCGTTGGGTCGAAATTACTTGCTAATTTTATTAACTATTTTCGTATGGTAATTGATTATTATCAAAAGAATAAATATGAATTGAAAGACAAGATAACTTTAAAACTTGTAAATGTGTAACTCATGAAGAATTTTTAAGGTAATGAGAAGTGGGTCTGTATAAAACTGTTTTAAAATCTGGAACTAACAACAATTTCACACAATTTTTTTCCTTACTTAGATCTTGAAGAGTAAAAAGGAAGTTAGAAGCCGAATCTTGTTTAAAACCCTTTATTTACCTATCTAGTATAAGTATGTTGTCTAAGGAAATGTTACGAGAAAATTTTGGTGTATACTGGAGTTGCTTATTCAAGAAGGTTGCAAATTAAGACTATATTATTACGTACTTAGCTAAAATTAGAATGTTAAGACAATTAATTTACACTAAAATAAATACGACAAGTTCAGTTTCAAATTTTATAAAGTATTTGTTCGTATTTGTCCAGTTACGAAAAATATATGTTAAAAAGTTACATGTCACAATGTTATTTAAAAATTTACAGTAACAGATTGCAAATAGATATGTATGATTTGTTTTATTGAGCATATATTTTTTAATAGTAGGACTGATGAAAAGCAAAGGAAAATATAATGAATTGAATGTACATATTTAAATATCTTTTAAACTGAATGGTTATTATTCCTGGGTTATAAATCTGCCAGAGCATGACGGGAATATATATTCTGCTCTCATAAATCTGAAGATATCAATTAAAACTAAGGCTGCCATTTCAGTAAAAGGTTAGAACATCTCCCAACGTTTTTAAGACAACTTAAAAATAATCCGATCACTTCGGTTTTTTTTTAATTTTAATACGTCCAATGTACCTTGCATGTATGTGACCTAACTTTATATTTTTATTTTTTAAATATGTTAGATAGAAATCTATAGTATAAGGATTTTGTATAATTAATATAGGTAAGTAATTTCCAGCAGCTATTAAATATCAAACAGTAGCTGTCACCAGCAAAGGTCAAATTTTCAATTGCCTTTTACCAAAACAATAATATTAAAGTTATTTTGGTTAGCTCAGTTTATACGAGATTTTGGATTATTGTATTTGAGAACTAACCAACGTCTATATTTCAGCAATAATTACTTATTACGGTGTACTTTTATTTGAGAAGTTTTAGCCTTCATCCTAATTTTCAGAGAATTCATAGGTAGAAAAAAAAACTTAATAGTTGACAGAAAAGAAGTTTAAAGATAGTAATCAGTGCTTTGTAAAAATAACACTCTTTTATTTAACATTTATAAATTTCATTTTATTGTCTTTATGTATTAAATTTTACATTATGTAAATTTGTAAACATTGTATTAAATGTTACAGAGAAATGATTCGCTTACACATTCATGAACACTAATATTGAGATATTATAATCTCTGAAAGCTGTCAAGAATAAAGAAGGAGAATTTAAAAGATGTTTTACTGATCTTAATAACGAAAAGACTAAACATTTTGATTTGTTATGCAAAATACATTATACATGTATAAACAAATTAAATAATAAATGTCAAGAGGTGACCTAAATGGTAGATATTCTTTTTAAATTCTTTAATGAGAAAAAGTTCAAAAAGAAATCTATAAGAATTAATTAAATTAAAGTGTTCTTAAGTTTTGGTAATTAATGACTTCTTAAGGTATTACGGTACCTTAGGCATGCCAGTATGATATCTATGCAGAATAATTATTAATATACATATCAGCGCTATCAGCATTAATGACGGATGCAATCTAACTTGTCATCAATTATTATAAAATCTTATTAGTATTCATATGTATGTATGTATTAGTATTCAACTGTAAAAGTAGAAGGAAATTGAAGGCTGTTTCAAAGGAGAAAATATGTTTGAATTATGGTATAATTACGACGTTTGGATGCACGAAAACAGAGTTTCTAACATTGAAAGATGTGAATATGAAGAACCTTCGAAAAATATAAGAATGTTTAGAAAAATTTAAGTTTCATTTTGAAGTGACATTAGTGACGTCAGATGTCTCCCTTTTTAAAAATAACGAAGTTGTATTAAACTCGACATATTTTTTGGTGAATGGAAAGAAGTCTGTAGGAAATATTTACATAATGTTAGTTTAGTAACAGGAAATAAAACTTCATAATATAAAAATAACAATGTTTATTCAACTGTTAAACAATCATTCGAAACTTTGAAAGCTTTTGTGAAAGTGACATCTAGGTTTTAGAATACGAACCAATTCTCTCATAACTTCGCGAAGTGGCTGTGGTCTACGAGTTCTTAATTATACTAATAGATGGCGTTACATTCGCAATGCGGTGGAATAATTTTTTATTTATTAATTTTTAAATGAAAATGACTGTCCACAATATGTTTTTCATTTACGAAAAGTGAATAAAGTTAATTCTTAAACAGTTTCTAAAAAAATCTAAGTATCAAGACATTTCTTTTTGACATTGACGTTTGCTGTTGTACTTGGGGGTGCATTGTTTTTACAAGTTATTTATAGTTAAGTGTTTAAATGCATTAAATAATTTCATAAATGAAATAACATTCATTACTCTACTACTTACCGAGTATTCCATCCCTCCAACGAAGTGCTACGAAATTCAGGTTTGCACTTTTTCTGTTGTACACTATTTAATTTGTTTTTTAGACGGACACTTAGTTTTTTTGGGCTGCCGGTAAACTTAGTACCCGACATATTAACTATTTTCCTTTAGAAAATTCACTAATTCATAGTATAATGGATTTTATAAAAATTATGGTTTTAATATTTACAGATATGGATTATTCTGATCAAGAGTTATCCGATAATGACGGCGAATTTGCTTTCGAGACTGATCACTTAGCTATCCGAGGAAACAAGGATTACTGTGACTTATTAAAATATATTGTGCAACTGGAAGCTCAGAAGGTACAAGCACTCAAAGATATTGAAGAACTCGCATTTACAAAATCCAAAGCTCTGAAGGATCCATTGAATTTTGTTCAAGACATTAAATCTGGTAATATAAAGTTTCCTTCTCGACAAACCATTGCAGATCTGCCTGACATTGAATGGGATAAGTACGGCATTGATGTTACCATCGGGAATAATTCCAAATCAAGCAAGGAAGAATTAGAGTCTAGTATGAAAGTAAGGGGCCGGATGTTCACTGATAATAAGCCTGAGACTTTCAATCAGCTGTGGTCATGTGAGGAACAAAAGAGACTTGAAGAATTATTAGAAATATTCCCTGAAGAAGCCGTAGAATCAAGAAGATGTAAAAAAATTGCTGACGCTTTAGGCACTCGCACACCAGTGCAAGTAATGAGCCGAATTCAAAAATATTTCACTAAATTAGCTAAAGCTGGTCTACCTATACCGGGCAGAGCACCTAAAGGAGTGTATAAAGACAAATATAGGGATAAGAGTTCATTTTATAAGAAATCTACATTCTTTCCTCAACTCCATGTTCCTGTGAAAATGGACGATCCTCACAACAATAGTGATAGTATGGATAGCGCATTATTCTCGGAAACAACAAACGGTAATAAGAATATGTTAGAGTTGCTCAAAGCAGCCAAGGAACAACGACAGCTAGATGAAACTTCTCCGGTGTATCAAACAAATACTATGTGTGTCGGATGTCAGAAAACAGGATTTCTGGGTGCAAGGTGGACGGATAATGCCGGCACAGACTTTTGTACTGACTGTGTAGTGAAGCTACTACCCATAGAAAAATTGATTCCAGTTCGATAACACTTTTAAGATATTATTTTGACTGTTTTGGTAATCTAAATTAAGATCAATCATTTACTATATTTATTTTCCTCATTTTAAATATTTGTACATCAATTTTAGGATACAAAGTTATCTAAATGTTTATAGATTTAAGCCCTTTTTTTGTTATACGAAATTATTAAACGATCATTAATAAGCTATTGGTTTTAGTTATTGTATTTTAATTAAAGAAAGAACACTAATATCGCAAAACTTCACAAAATCTCACTGACAATTTATTACTTTAATAAATTTACTTTTCTCACTTGAGTGAAAGCAGTGATCACGTTTATATGTGTGGTCACCATAAACTTCACCAATAAATACATCTTTACAAGGAAAAACTGCTCGGCATCCGTCACTGAATACCAAATGTTAGCAATAAATGTTGAATCACTCAACTTTGTCTATCCCACTTTATAACTCAAGGCACGTCTACACCCGCCAAGAGCGGCTAGCCACTGTCGCCCATTCATAACTAACGCAAAATCTCTGATAATTGTTTGAAAAAACTAGATTCCAATAAGCGATCGTGCATAGGTTATTCGCCGCGAGTGATGATGAACCACTGGGCTGGAACACTGAACACGGCCCACATTCAACATGTACCCTCTGTAAACTGGGATATACACGGTCTGCGACCAAGATATCTATATAGATTATTCATATTATATGAGTGTAACACAAGGGAATAAAGTGCCTACATTTAAAAAAACGTTCTCTTTTCTTCATTTGCCGTAATTTTTACATATTTAGTACTTATGAATAAAATATTTACGGAGTCTCATTTACTTTCCTTTTCATGACAAATTATACATTTGGTACGTACTGGTAAAAATGTTAATTAAATGCTTTAAAAAAATTGTTTAAGAAATGCCTTTTTAAATTATAAGGTAAGTTTTATCTGAATAATTACTACATTTAAAAAGTGACGGGTTACGATGTTTTTCCTATTAGTTGAAGTAGATTAATGTTCTTGAGATGACAGTACCGAGTTTTTTTTTAATTAATAGAACATTAAAGATTAAAGATTGTTTTTCTCTAGAGTATGAAAAAGTATGTAATAACTCTACTATATCACATTTTAAAAACAGTAGGTGAAGTAATTAATTGAATTTTATTTCTATAACACAGTGAAAAGAAAATAATATTTGCTGTTGTACTAAATATCGCAAACTAATTTTAGTTAGGAAAGATATCCACAAACAATTTTAAGTTAATCTTATATTTGTACTAGCAAATAACATATGTATTTGAAAACTTCGATCGTGATATTTAATCGTGCGAATATTTCACGCCGCGCTATATTGGGCATAGTTTTAGAAAATACATTCTTGTCTACAACAGCATATCGAAGTTACGAGACACGTATAAGTTCACTCACATAAAGGTGCATAAAAGCTCACCAGCAAGTGACAATAATTACCTAACATGTTCAAGCATAGGTTTTCTATTGTTCTTCGGAAGCATATTTCCATTGTAGGTATAATTTTATGCATCTAGGTGTTTTTGTCATAGTCTTACGTGCAAGTGTATTTTTACACCTATACATACTAGTTATGTATCTATGCAAGCAGAACTACAGCATTTAAGTTTGACTTGCTACTAGGCGAGTCTTAGACTTACCAAAGCCCGCTTTTGTTGTGGTACACTGAAAATATATTGGTTTTGTTAATGTTTTTCTATCCACGACAGTATCAATACTAACAAATAACCACCATTAAAACATAACTAGTTTTTGAATTATATTAAAAAGATCCTGTTTTAAAATAAAAGGGCCAAAAATTTGTGGATGGTTACGTATTTTAGCTTCAATAAAGTGTCAAATCATTATGCTGATCAATGAGCTAACACTATATGATATAGTCTTTCTAATGTGTTACACTAGTCGTTTATTTAACATGAAAGATCCCCGGTATGAAGCAACATATTTTCTTCGCTTATTATTTCTCGCGGGATTAATTAACACTTCATTGTATAACAAACGACATGTTGTTCAAAGCATGACGTGAAATAACCGGTGATTTATGAAACAAAGTGATTTTAATTTAGAACACTATTTTTTTGCGAAAAGGTAATAAGTATATGTATACTCTTATTAAAATCGGTGATATGTTTTAAAAATTATCTAACATCTCAATTGATTAATACAAACGGTTATGGTTCCGAGGTTTCAATAGAATGTATATAAATATATTTATACGTACATTGTGTATAAATTATGAACCTGCATCATTTTATAACGAAAACGAGACAATTTGTGTTACTATATAATGCGTGGTAAGAACCTTATTTAAATTATACAAAATAAATTATTTTAATAAAACCGAATCGAATGTAAGAGATAATATTCAAAATGGATATGAAACATTTCTTGTTTATGGCTATCTGGTACAGTTGCCTAGCATACAAGCAAATTTATTGTTGCTTTCAATATTATATTACCTCTAATATCAATGTTATTGTATGAGTATTAGTGGTTTCGTGACACTTCACCGTATTCGATTTAAAGCCAAGAGAAATAGGATTAAGATGGTGAGAACTTTCCAAACACTTTTATATTAGACCAACCACGGAATGGACAAGAATATTTTAATGAACTCATAAATATTTCAAACAGAAACCGAACAAAGGGGTAAAAAATCAAAATGATGTTATACCATCGAACGCATTTTTTGTTGGTCGTATTCGGGAAAATTCACTTATAATATTCTTCAACTCCCGGTAATTAGGCTTTTTCATCTACAAATCCGTTGTTATTTTCACAAATAGCATGATTTCTTTGTTCATTACACGTTATCTTCAGGCTACATTGTCTTTATTCGTTTCATCTATTTAATGTAAGGCCTGAGGTCATGAGTTCATTTGAAGGTCGTGAAATTATCACAAGCCGTAAGCTGAAAGCACAGAACGTAAGATACGCATGAATGAACAGCAAAGTGTGTAATAAAACAGTCATAAATAACATATTACACCCTCAAAACGTATCATTTGTGCTTTTATTGACAATACAATTTTGCGTTTATCAAAATACAACAAAACATGTTACGTTAACTTTGTATGATGTATGAAAATGTTCTTTTTAATATTCTGTGTTTCATACAAATTGGAAATATTATCATAATTTCAAGATTTTTTCTTTGAAGTTTAAATTATGTATCTCTAAAGAGGCAACTAATTTTGTATATAAATTAATATTCAATATCAAATTTGAGATTAATACCCTACAAATTGTAGAGTATATGTATGTTTAACTTTTTGTTTCAACGACTGAAACATTTTTGTACAGTAAATGTTGAATAATTAATTCCACGTTTATTGTCAAATACACAATACGTGCGATGTAATGTTAATAACATTAACAGGAATGTAGTTGAGGGTAGAACATTCCAGCAACATGTTGCTTGTGGAAAGCAAATTGTTCAATATCGTACAGTATGCATGTTGCATGTATACAAAACGGTGAAATTAATTTAATTTTGATGGAAACATATTTAAAACATTAATGTTTTTGCCTTTTTCATTAATTGAGTTCGGCGAAAAATATTGTTTTTTATGTAAACTCATGTTGGTCAACTTATCCCTTTCACGCCGTCTTCATCTCTTATAATGATTAGTTTAGTTCTATAAGTTCAGTAATGGATTTACATCGGATCACTAGGGTTTAGTGCTCAAAGCGAAAAAAGTGAAAAAATAATTTGATTGGGGCAAAAAAACAAACTTTATAGAAAAGTATAGATAACAAGGTATTTGAAAAATTAAGAAGATATTGATTCAAATCAAAAAAAAATTAAAATATATATATTCTCTTTTTCAATATAGTATTGTAGAACACTGGTGCACAAGAATAGCAGTTAGTATTACTAAAAAAAAATTATACATATATAAAAATTTCTAGGAGATATTATAAATCCATATTAAATAAGAAAATCAATTTACCACTAAAGCAATAAATTGACACGGTTAAACTTATGTCAAATTTTATTATTGCAAATTATTTCCACAAGTGTCTGACTGTATAGAAACTAGCGCCATTTACCACCATTTTATCAAGTTAGTTTGTGTGACTACGCATCTACTTATCTGTTTTCTCCAACACATTGATTGGACCTGGTCGTGAATAAATTAACACCAAAAGTATTAGACATTTTCAGTTAAATATTTTAAAAAACGTACGAGTTACATCTGAAAAAAATAATTAAAAAAGATTTAGATACATCTTTCATCTTACATGTTTTATCCGTTAAAGTAAGGATGAACTTTGTTAAATGAATGAATGAATAAATGAATAAATGAATGGACATCCTTAAAAGGTAAACTTTAACTTACTTCACTTTAACTTATGATGTTAGAGATTCTAACAGTTTCCTAGTAGTATATTATGATCGTTAAGCTATTATGTTACGAATTTAAGTACCAAGAAAACGGGGATAAGGTAATATACGAGAAGATAATGGTCGTGTTTGATTTAGGGTAACATTTAAGGATTAGGTTCACTATACATTTTGACCTAATTCCGCAAAAACCTTGACGTGATGGATCAGGCTCAATTATTCGCTATTATCTAGGCTTCCGAGATCAAAGCTTTAAACTCATAAGGGTCACACGGTTACCGGTTACACAGACACAATAGGTGTGATGTTGCTTAATTTACATTTATTGCCTCAATATTATCGGCTTTGCTACCAATAACGCTTTAGATTTTGACCACTTTTATGTGATAGAAACAAGTAATTTTTCTATAAATATATAGGTACACATGGGTTGATATAATAATATTACGAAAAAGAAAACAAAACATAAGTAAAGCAAATATTTATTTTTCTAATCTTATATATTTGGATATATTTTAACATTTGAGAAAATTAACACGTAAAAAGGGCATGTGTTGCAGTTTAAATTGTAAGTACTGATTTATTTTTCACTCTTTGACATGGTACCTACATTGTTGCACCCGAGTCAAATAACGGGCAAGTGGA